AAATATAAGCTAGATATCAACTATTGTTACAAGTGCTAAGATATCTCCATGTTCTGAGATGCTTGGGAAGGATTTCCTGGAGGAGGTGGATGCTGAGTTTTGTTTGAAGGATGGGTATAGTGGGGACCCATAGGGATTGGGGGAAGGGGAGGGGCTGTCCAGAGATGGGGGTGGGCATGATGCATTTGGAGGCCACAATATGAGTGAAGTAGAGTTGGTTTGTGGGCTTTTGGGAGATAAGATTGGATAGATGAGTTGGGACCACACCACAGAAGGCTTTCAATGCTTGAGTAAAGAATTTGGACTTTAGGTAATAAGACATTTTTATTCTTGCACACTTAGAGGCACAGACACACTTCTCAGTAATCCCACTACATAGGAATACCTTCGCACCTGGTCACACAGAGGTGCCCTTCCTTCTCCCCTCCTTTGGTGTTTCTTTCTGGTCCCTTGGCCCCAGAAACATTTATTTTTAAAGACAGTAAAAGATCAAAACCAAGCATGCAGGTTATACTTCAGAGTCTACAGAGTTGCAAATGTGACTCTTTTTTTCCCCAGAATAGTAGGCAATTCCACTTTCTATTTCGGCTTGTCAATGTTTTGTTGTTGTTGAGAATATACAGCAAAACATATAACACTTTCCCATCTTTTCAAAGGGAAGCAATGAAAAAGAAAGAAGAATTTGTAAAAGTCCCAAAGTGGAAATAATGAGACGTGGAAAGAGAAAAGGCGTTGACTTAGAAGCTGGAATGAATACGGGGACAAGGAAGGAGAAGTGAAGGAGCTCAGTCCAACTGACATTTGGTGGCAGGTGCCAACCCTCTCTGCCAGCTGCGCTGGGTATAACCCTTCGCTGTCCCTGCCTGGAACTTTCTAGTCCTTCTAACCTGCATGCCTAGGACGTTGTGGTTTGTGGTGGATTCCTTCAACTTGCCCCGGCCTTCATCCAAACTACTTGGGGACGTAGGAGCCGCTGCAAGTCAAGGTATTTCAGCAAGTATTTATTATCCCGCCACGTGCCCAGGGACTCCAGTCCCTTGCACAGACAGGGTAGTCCCTCCTTTCCTCTTGCCAACACCTTTTTTTAGGTTTCATTAGCCTTTCATCTAGATTATTGCGACAGAGTTCTCACTGCCCTTCCCACCCTTGTCTTTTTTCCCCTGGATCTGGGCTACATACCACAGTTGGATTAAGCCTAAAATACAGCTTTGATCAAGCCACTCCTCTGCTCAAAAACCTGCATAGCTCTTCACTGCCTTTAATCAAACTAACACTTCGCCTACATACAAAAGGAACACACGTTCAGGGCCAAAGCCTGGAAAACACAGAGAAACAGGGAAGGAAATTTGTCCAGAATTTTACCACCTAAAGATAAGCTATCTGTAATATACAGTTTCCAAGTCTTTTTATTTTACTTTGTAGTATGTTCATGAGTAATTTCCCCACGTTCTTTGCTGTGTTTTGTTGTTGCTTTGTCTTTTTTGTTGCTTGCTATCAGACGAGAGGGATAACATTTACATACCCAACTCCTCTTGCAGAGTATTGGGGTTGCTTTGACCATCGTCCTCACACATAGATTTTTATATACAAGTGACACTTGTTCTTAGAAAAGATTCCTAGACGAGGAATTTGTGGGTCAAAGGAATTTGTTTTAAGGCTTTCTTTTATTTTGTAATAAATATTTACAAGTTGCCCTCAGAAGGGGAACATTTTATCCTCCATCCAACCCAAGCCCATTGCCGTCAAGTCGATTCTGACTCATAGCAACCCTATATGACAGAGTAGAAGTGCCCCATAGGGTTTCTAAGGCTGTAAATCTTTACGGAAGCAGACTGCCACATCTTTCTCCCGTGGAGTGGCTGGTGGGTTTGAATCACCCGCCTTCGGTTTAGCAGCCAAGGGCTTAACCACTGTGCGACAAGGGCTCCCTCATCCTCCATCAGGGATAGACATGCCCATTACTACTGAATCAGACAGCATCATGTTGGCCTCTGTCAAGCTGCTCGTCATCTCCTGGCTCTTGAGGTGTGCATATATGCATTCAACAAACATTACTGAGCACCTACCAGGGAAGGCAGGAGGTTGTGAAGGTTAGGGGCAGGCTGTGGAACCATCCTACCTGGATTTGAATCCCAGCTCTGCCCCACATCTTTCCTGTACACCAGGAACAAAACTAACACTCCATCACAGAGCAATCATAAGAATGTAAACGATTTCATAAATGTAATGCTTCAAACAGTGCCTGGAACGTAATAAGTATTCAGCGAACAGTAGCTATAATTATCTGCAGTTTTGAACCTTGCTCTCTTCTAGGTGGGGTGACAGTGGCAGGGGGGTGATCCAGGTATGAGAAGGCAGCCAGGGTCCCTGCTTCTATGGAGCTAATGTTAGATGCTATTAAGTGCTCTATAGAAAGTGCAAACAGTTAACGTGCTCAGCTGCTAACCGAAACGTTGGAGGTTCGAGTCTACCCAGAGGCGCCTTGGAAGAAAGCCCTGGCAATCTGCTTCTGAAAAATCAGCCACTGAAAACCCTGTGGAGCACAGTTCTCCTCTGACACACATGGGGTCACCATGAGTAGG